GTAGACATGACTACTTGTGTGCCTTTTGATTCATCGATTTTTATGAAAATTTACATACATATATGGGCATAGCACGTTATAATATATATTAACACTTCTCAAAAATTGAACCTTCGCCTTGGACCATTACAAAAAAAATTTGTTTTCATATAATTTCATATATTAACTGCGTTTGATAATAAAACAAGTCCTCTAGGTTTTCGAGAAATTCAGGTACCAGCACCAGTATTTTTACTATATGAGCGAAATTTACATTTAGTTCATATATACATATAGACAAATAATCAAACAAACTCTTTGAAATTTAATATTTCAACTCGGGTTGCTTAAACATGAAAAAATTTTTGAAAATATCAGGGTTCAGAAATTTTAATTTCACTACGGCCTGATTTCACAATTTTTAACATATCTTATAAGAATTAATTGACGGAATTTCTTTAAATTTAATAGTTAATTTCTTTAAATTTCTTTAAATTTAATAGTTTGCCAACGAATTCAATTACAAAAATTCACTTCACAAAAATTAGATTCCATAGAAGTTCCAATTCAGAAATTCCATAGAACGATTTTTGGAAATTCCAACTTTGAAGCCTCATAATTCATATTCTATCACCATGTTTCGGGAGTTCCATCGATTTTCGAACGTCCCATAAAATTTTATTTATATAATATAAAATTACTATTTACAGTATAATGTATTAATTTCGATTTCAAATCAAAAACGATACCTCTGTTCATAAAGTTGCAGGCACTATATTTATAATTTATTCTTGATACATAACCGTTCCTGGGAAATGTTTAGAAAAAATTTATAAGCTGCAATATGAAAAAATTTAAAATGCACTGATTTTAACATAAGTGCGTCATGTTAAAAGCCTCCAGGATTCTATTAAAACTCAATATATTTATTCAAATAATTAAAATTATATAATAATCAATTTATATATTTGTATGTACAAGTATATTTTATAAAATCAAAAACTAATCAATATTTTTTTTTAATATTCTTACAATATAATTTATTAATATTTTATTTTTCTTTAATAATTTTAATTTTTAATATAGAGAGTTATAATATAGTTAAAATTTTAAACATAATTTTAAATTTAATAATTATTATTAAAAACTTAAGATTAATATAAATTTTTTAATTTATATATTTACATTATTATTTTTATTAAAATTAATTTTATAAATTTACATATTTTTTTTATACTTGTATTGCATAAAAAAAAAGTTGAGTTAACAAACTTATTTAATTTTGATATTAAGCTTAACAATTTAAATAAAAAAAAATTATAATAATAAAATTTTCTTTTTTTCTTTAATAAATTTATTTTTACACGTTAAAATTTTCATTACACGTAAAGTTTTTTATTTTCGTTTCCCTTAAATATTTTTTTTTTCTACATTTTTAATGTTTTTAAGTTTTAATGAATATATTTTGTTTTTTAATTTAATTTACTGAAAGTCGAATTTTATGTGCAGTAATTTTAATTAATTTACTTCATACGTTAATAAAATGTTTTTAAGTTTTAAAAATTTTTACTTTCTAAATGTTGTTTTTTAATTAATTTTTTTGATACTGATAATTTTATTTTTCTGTTTCCTATATTGATTTTGTTAATAAATTTTTATTTCTTGTTTTGTTTTACAATTTTAATATCGAATAAATTTTTTTATTATTTTTCAATTTTTAAACACAGGTCTGAAAAGTTTCCACATTTTTATTCTCTTATAAAATTTTATGAATATTGAGCTGGATTCATTGTTTCGTTGCTTTCAGGACGAGCTAATGTATTTTGTATGAAATCGACATGCTCTTTATTTTAAATAATTCAGTTCTAAACAAGGTGTTTTTAAAATTTAAATTTTAAATTAGCTTATTAGTGTAGTATCACTATTACAATTATATACCATTCTTGTCAAAAAAGTGTCAAATGAAGTGTAATAAAAAAAAATATGCTCATTAAAAGCGACGATCCAACGAATCCAAATTAAAAAAAAATTAAATTGTAAAAATTTGATTTTTGAAGTACAGTTAGTTCATGTTTACAGTATTAAAAAATATGAAATATTATAAAAAATTAGAATATTATAGCCCTATAAAATCTAAATGTAAAAAATTGCATTATAGAGAACGCGATGCTGTTAATTCTTCAAGCATGCGTGTCATAAGGAAAACCATTGATAATTTATTTATTAAAGGGGGGAAACCCCACCTGATGACTGTTAAATTGCAGATTTAATGTAACCTGTAAACTTTCAAGAATGAACTAGCTCCTGACCGTATAAACATTTTCCTTTCATTATATTTAAATAGTAAAAGATTAATTTTTTCAAATTTAAAATATTACGAAAATTCAAAAAATAAAATTCCATAACACCTTATATCTTATTTAATTAAGTCAGTTTTCATAAAGTTCTTTCATTCAGACCTGTTTTCGAGCAAATAATATCATAGTCTACTTTAAGAATTTTGAAAATATTCAAATAAGAACGTAGATTAAATAGTATTGTTTAGCTTGAAACGTTTCTAGGAATTTAATTGATTGTTAAAATTTTTGCAGAATTAGAAATTATGAGTAAAAAATAAAAAAAAAAGTTAATGTTATCTTATTTAAATAATATTTAAGCGTATTTTTAAATATTAAATTTAACAAAATTATGAAAAACAAAAAATTTAATAAATATTTAGTTTTAAGTTTGCATCATCATGGATTAGGAACTATATAGTTGTAGAAAAATTTTAGTTTATATAGAAGTGTTAATGTTAGAGATATTTAATTATAGAAATGAAATTTATTCAAATAATCTGTTTTCAGTTTTAATTTTAGTTTAGTGTACAAAAAAATATATTAATATATGTATATGTATATGTGTCTTAAATGTAAATATATTTTATCTTAGAAATATAATATTTTTAATAAAAATATATTAATTGTTTTTTGTTCTAATTATAAAAATAAAAATCTCTTAAAGTAGACTAAAATATTTGTTCTTCTTTTAAAATCTACAATAATATGAATTGCTTTAATTAGACTTACAAGTAATAAGAAATTGATTAATTTATTACGAAATTTTTTTATATTTAAATATGAATTCTTTTCTATATTATTTTATTAAATTTGATTATTAAAAATTCTTAACTAACAAAATAAAATTTATTTGTTTGTTAAAAACTAAAAAATAAATTATTATTTTAACAAATATTCAATACAAAATTTAATACTTTACAATTTTAAAATAAATTTAATATTATATTTATTGGAATTATAAAATAAATTAAATAAAATACATACATAAATGTGTAGAATTCTGAAATAATTTAACAAAACATATTTCAAAGGTAAATTTTACATTTCTTGATATTTTCATTTAAAATTTTTCTAACAAAATTATTATTTGATTTTTCTTTCTAGTTCGTAAATTTCAGCTACATGTACATATAATATTATATAATTAAAATATATATTAATAATAGGTGATCCGAATAAATTTTTTTCTCAAATATACAATTCACTTTCCATATATATCAATCTAAAATAAATATAAAACAATATAAAAATTATTAACAACAGAAAAAAAAATATTTCGAAAATATTTTTTTAAAAAACTTATAGTTTTCTTAAAAACTGCATGGCCAAAAATCAAAATTTTTTATCACTAATTCGGTAAATGCATTGAATAGTTAACTTTCGGATTTCCAAATTTATGACTATATTGGTTTTAAATTTTAATTAAAAGTTTATTGAAATTTATTATGAATATTTATTTTATGAATAAATCGCGAAAAAGAATCTAAAATTTATAGAAATTCGTTTTAAATTTGTTACAATGTTCTCGTTTCTCTTAAAACCTTTGAAAATTAGCCTAGTCTAAATTTTTTCATGTAGTTCATTTTTTTATGTTTTTCATGTAGAATTTAATATTTTATATTCATTTGTCGCATTCTTATATTCAGTCAGTTCTTTTGTGTTAATAGTAATAATGAAAATGTACGGATATTACAAGAAGTTCCTTAACTTTTCAACATAAAGCTATTAAGAACAAATTACATTATTAATAAAATAACATTGAACACAGAAAAATAATAAAGAGCTATCATAACCACCTATAGGTACTTACGTAAATTATATAATTGTACATTATCTCTATTGAAAACTTTAAAGAAATGTGAATATTATCTGATTGTATATTGTCTGCCTTAATTAAAAAAATTTTAGCAATTTCAATTTCAATTAATTTGCATATACAAAAAATATATTTAAATTTATAATTTTAAAACATTAGAAAATTGAGAAAATAAAATGATTCTTATAGAACGACGTGTATGCGACCCACAACCGTTAAAATTAAATTTTAATAATATAGAAAAAATAGCATAATTTCAGAAGTTTATATTTTTATTTACCGAAAGATAATTAATGATTACAATAAATTGTTCATTCTTTTAAATTCGAATTGCAATAAAAAATGTTTTGTATGTTTATTCAGTGTAAATATTAATTTTCTAATTATTAAAAGAGATCCTATTAAACAAGTTTAAATGTTTTCAAATAAATTTAAAATGGCATTTGACATTAAAATTTCAAAATAACATATCTATAAAATTAAGAATTAATTTTGAAAATTACAATTTTTATATTAAATTCCAAATTAGCTACATGATTTTTTCAAATAAATTAAAATCCTTCTAGAAAATCTATTGTATAAAAACAAATTTAGCAATTTATAAATAACTCGTATGTTATAAACTGAATATAAAATTATATACCTACATATATAAATATATGCATGTAATACTAATTAATATTTTTATTCACTATCAATCATTGTCGCTTACCATATAAAACTAAAATAAAACAATTACAAAATATTTCTATATTTAAAATAAATTCAATTCTACACATAAAATACATTTTCCATAATTAATTTAATTTTTTTTACCTTTGAATTTAATTATAATTATTAGTTGTAATGTTTTATTTATTATTTGTATTTAAATTTAATATTTATACATTATATACTAAATATAACTTATTAATATAATATTAAATAATTTATTAACATATTTTTTTTATAATATAATAAAACTTTTCTTTATATATTTTTCTTGTTTTATAATAAATATAATGTATGTATAATTTAATAAAATATATAATATAATATATATAAATACAAATGTAATATAATAATATATAAATATTAAATATAATTATTAATAATTTTAGATTTAATCGGTTGCTGCAAAAAATATTGTCGATTTACGTCTAAAACCTAAATTAAAGAAAGATGTTTCAGATTTCTTTCTTTCTTTATCTTCATTTCCAAAATATGACAGAAATCTAGCACCACCATGATTACTATTATTACCAGATTGTTGATGTTGTTGTAATTGCTGTTGTTGTTGTTGATTTTGGTGTTGTTGATATTGTTGATTACGATTTGGTGCAATAAATGGTATTGCAGCTGCTTGTTGTGGACATAATGATAACGATAAATCGGCCATTTTAAATTCGGTCATCTTACTCTCCCCGATGGCGAACGAAGATGGGACCGTATGTAACCCGTGCGATAATCTATAACCGTAGGATGATGACCCGTTAAAGAACCGTTGCGGGGACCTCTCCCCCATCTAAATTTTTTTTTTTATTTTTAATTTTTGCATTTTTTTTCGATTTGTTTTTTTTTGTTGTTGTTTTTTTTTACAAAATAATAAAATAGAAAAAGAAGATAAAAAAGAGAAAAAAAATAAAACAAGAATAATACAAATATTTTTTTTTTTAGAATATTAAAAAAATATTTTGATAGCATATTAAACATGTTGTCGCTATATTTAAATTTTTTATATATATATATATGTATAATAATTATTTTTATATATGCAAACATTTAAATTTTAATTGTTTTATATATAAGTTTTTAATTTTTTATTTAATTTTTTTTTTTGATTAATTAAAATTTTTTTTATTTGCAAAAAAAAAATTTTTTGTACATTGCTCTAATAAAAATAATTTCTAATATGATTTAAAATTTTTTTTTCTTTATTTAATTTATTTTATTTAAAATATTAAAAATTCAGAATAACTTTGTTTTATTTACATTTCAAAAAAAAAGGAATGTACAGTTGCTATGAAATTTAATTATAATTTTATAAAATTCGTGTAAAATTTTATTTTAAGAGTGTGTTTAAAAAATTTATAGCTATGCGTGATTTTGATTTGTTTTGCTTCTTTTTGATTTAATTAATTAAAATTTTATTAAAATAATTGCGCAAATAATTGTATATTTATCAAATTTATAGAGTTCGAACATTTAAATATTTTCTCTCAGTCATGTGAAAAATTTGTATATATTTGAAAATATCCAAAATTCAAAGGCCTTGAATATGTTCAAAATGGCAAACATATATTGAACAACATAATAGAACGTATATATTGCTAAAATATTATAGGTACAAAAGAAATATAATTTTCTCTAAATTGATTAATTCTTAAAAAAAATCTCAAATCAAATAATAAATGCATATTTGTTAAGCATACAACTTCTGACTAATGCATTCGAGGCCAATTTCAAAAAATACCCTCCACAAGATCAATAATATTATTATTATGATAACAGATTGCAAACACAGTTGCAAGGATTTTCTTCTTGCCACTGTCTAATACTTCTATAATAATCGAAAGATTCAAGTTCTATAATTATTAAATTTCAATCTTTTATTAATAATTTTTGAATTATAATTCAAAATTTTTTAATAATAATAAAAAAGAATTGTGTAAATTTTTACAAGAAATTTGCATATACAAAAAAAACAGTGCTGCCAATTCATAATTCTTTCGTTAAAACAAAAAAACAATTTTTTGTGATAATAACTTTTGTCATGTTCTTAATTCTTTTATAAATTATTCTGAATTTTTAACAAAAAAATAAAATTTAAATTTTATTAATTATTATTAATAAATTTACTTTTATATTAATTATAATATTAACAATAAACAAAAAAAAAATTTAAATATTTATAATAAAATACAATTTTTAATATTTTTTTTTTATTTTGAATAATATATATAAAATGAACTTAATACTAAAATACATAACATTTATGAAATTGAAACACAAAAAATTAAAAAATAAATAAATTTAGTTATTTTTATTAATTTAATTGCATTCCCAATTCTTATAATTATAGAACAAAAAAAAAACACAAACAAAATGAAAATTAACATTTTTAAACAATTTTTTTTATATCATAAATAAATTATACAATGAAATAAATTATTATAAATATTTATAATAAATGTATAAAGTAAAAACTTAATATTTTTATTAAACAAATAAATTTTCATTTAAAATTAATTGTGTGTTTTTTAAACAAAAAAAAATATTTTAAATATTTAACTTAAATTTCAAAAATTTAGGAGAAAAGAAACATGATAAATTAATTTTTAATATTTTATACAAAATAATACAAAATAATTTTTAATTTTTATTTTTTTAATAATTTCATTTTAAAAAATCAATTGATTCCTTTGATCAAATTAAAAAAATCAATAAATAAAAACATTTTTAGAAAATATTTAAAGACACTTTAAATATGTTAATTAAATTAAAAAATATATATATATTTTTTTATATATTTTCATGTTGTATATATATATAAGCATACATACATACATTTTCCTTTTTATTTTAATATATTTAATTGATATTAGTATATGTATATAGTATAAACAATACACGTGAAAGCAAATTTCAAAATACTCAACTACACAAACACAAACAATAAAGAAAAACAAAAAAAAAAAACAATTAATTAAGATAAAAATGAGAGTTATAATAATTAATTAAAATGATAATAAAATCAGAGATACTTACAACATCAAAAATGACAGCAACAACTATATTTTTTTATTTTATTAAAATATTTGCTTTAAGACTTATTAGCTTTCTTGTAAATTATATTTTCTCTCTATATGTAAGTATATCGTACATACATATTAAGTGTGTATATCTTTATTTAAGAAATTTTTTAAATAAACTTCTTAAAATTTCATTTTCAGTTTTTGTTTTCTTTCTTTTAAATTTCATTTTTATTCATTTTTATTGCGACAATTTACAAAAAATCTAATATTTTACTTATAGAATTTCTCTGTGCGCTTTTTTTCTATATATAAATATTTCATATACTTAATAATGTATATATATATAGTTTATATATATTATTTTTCTCTATTAATTATATATAAAATAAAGATTTAAAGTTCTATCTATGTATTTATTGTAATAGAATTTTAAAAGACATCACAATGAACTAAAAAAAAAAACAGAAAAAAAAAATAAAATAAACAACATTACATTACAATTGATTCAAAACTTCTTAGATACATTGTTTTCTGTTATAAGATCTATGTAAGAATCAAAAATTTACAAAAAACATATTATATAAATTGCATTCAATTTCACTTATTTAACATATTTTAATTTTAATAATTATTTTATTATAACGTATATGCATATGTACATACATGAAATATGAAAATGAAAGTTATAAACATTTATAAACTGCAGGCAAAATATACATAAGTATATACCATATAAAATGGAGTAGATAATAAAAAAATTTTAAAATTTATACTTAGCGTAATGAATATAGAAGGCATAGTTATTGAAGATAGCGAATAACATGTATTCAAAAATAAATTTATGTACAATTAATTTGTGTACGTGCTTAATATTAAAAAAAACAGAATTTAACGTGCTTAATATGAAAAAAAAAACAGAATTTTAGAATTTATAAAGTAGACATTAAAGTAATTCCAGAATTAAAGATTAAATTTTAAAATCGTATATAAAATCGTATATAAAAGTATGAAGTTTTAAACACAAAAATGGTTGATTACATTTAATAAAATTTAAAAATATTCATATAAACAAATATGCTCCCCGGATATGTACACAACATAGTGAAATTCATAGGGATTTGGGTGTGCCCGAAATAAATGATTAAATAAGGAAGTGCATGTAATATTGGGACTTCCCGACGAGGATTAGGACAGAAATACTGAAATGAACGGTAGTACTCTATTAAACTTAACAGAACATCCGTGTCTTTTTTAATGTAATGTAAACACAATAGCACGATAGGACAAACTTAATTGTTAGTCACTTTGACAAATTTTAGAAAGTTATAGCCTCTCAGGTGCATTTTTGCTTGAATTAAAATTCTTAATATCGATAAGTTTGGCGACAATTCGCATCCACCATTCTTTGTCTCCCGATGATTTTTAGCATTTGTATTAAAAAAATATCCATATATCAACAAAATGAGTAAATTTAATTTAGTTATTGACATAATATCAAAAGCTACGTCGTTAGTAACAAAAAATATTCTTAACCATAATAGATGTTTATCACAATCAGTGTAGGAAGTAGGGATTCTTAAAAGCAAAAAAAAAATTTTTACTGCTGCCTATGACTATGTCAAATATAACGGTATTTTTAAACATGCACTGGAATGGTGGTTCTACAAGCACTATTTTAAGACAAATTTAATCTTATTTTAAACTTGTAAATTTTTTGTAAATTATAATAAAAAAACTACTTTTATACATACATATACTTATATTATATAAATTAAACTAGCAAATTCTTGTTACAATAAAAATTAATTAATTATACAATTAAATTAAAGCATAAAATTGATTATTGAAATTAATAAACTAATAAATTTCATAAAAATAATAAAATTAAAAGTACAAAGCATACTTTACAATTTACGATATTGTAATACTTTTTAAATGTAGATGTGTAATTATGTAAGAGTATAATAAAAAATAATATTTTCTGTGAAATTTCTTTTACATACATATATCTATATAGAGTTAAAAGATTTTGGATATTTATATTATATGTTTTATATTTAATACACACCCAAATATTTTTAATACATTTTTATTTTCTTAATACATTGTATATGTACATAGAGATAATAATGCTCTAAAATAGAAATCCTATAAATATTATTTATATAAGAAAAAAAAATGAAGAAACGAATGAAGAAATAAATAAAATGTTAAAACAAAATAAAATCTTAATTAAAATGTACGTACTCGTAAAACATGTATTTAAGATTAATTATATATGTATGCATATAGTATACAGTCGGATCCGCTTTTGAACACATCGAAAATTGTACGATTTTTCGTTTGTTTTTATTCGGTTCTTTCCAAAAAAAACGAGGCCAGTTATAAGCTCAAATTTTTTTCTAACCGAGTTTTTAGCACTTTTCCAAAAAATTTTTGAAAAAAAGTGATTATTAGTTTCACCCTGTCCGTCCGTCCGTGGATATGTTTACAAAACTTCTACACATATACAAAGCTGAAATTTGATATGTACATAGATCTTTACTAGAATCTTATTTCCGCAGAACAAAATTTTTACCTATCTCGCCCTCTCTAGAAGCTATCGCCCCCAAAACGTCGCGTATAGTATGTCGCGATAGGAGAATGGCGATTCTCATATAGTATGTCGCGATATGAGAATCGCCATTCTCCTATCGCGACATACTATAGATAAACTTTAAAAAAACAAAATAGTCGTTCAAATTTATCGTTTGAAGGTTGTGGGAGCCTGAAATTTTAGCAGCTTTTAGGCATTAACAAATAGTTTATTTCGTTAGAAGAAAATTTTTTTCCATCTCCACCCCCTCTCAGGGTATCGCCAAAAATTTCTATGAAAAAGCTAACGGTAAATTCCGTGACATTAAAAAATATAATTATTTTTCTTAATTCACGTAATTAACCCTTAAAATCGACATGACAAAATAACCCCTCTTTATATTAATTTTTGCTTTATTTCAAAGACTGGCATAAATCGTTCATCCTAAATATATGCAATCCTAGAAATAGTTTCGTATATGAATGAAAATAATTTTCATAGTGTGGTAGGTATATATAGACTGTATTTAAAAGCAGTATTTTCACTTGCTGCAGGAATAAGTGCTACAATACAAACCATTGGTTTGATCCAACTTTATTTACTTCTATACGTGAAATGACAAAAAATAAAAGTGATATACAAATTACTTTCCCAGTAGATTACTTTATTTTTGGAACCGTATAAAAGGAAAAATATAATTTATGGAAATTGTAATGCCAGAATTGAGTTTTAGATGTAATTAAAAAGATGTTTACTCGTATGCTTATGAAAATCTTTTTCTTTAAATTATGACAATTTTTTTTTATAAAAGGATCTGAGTAAGAAGAGAAACAAAGAGGTAAATGTGACACAGTCATTTATGTTTATAAAAAGTTTTTGTTTGTGGTCGACATACTCATCAGTGAGTAAATTGAGGACAAAAAGTAAAAATGGTTTATTTTACTATAATAAAGGAGTTTTGCTTTTATACGAGTTCCTTAGATACGGTTCCGACTGTACACAGAATTAAATGAAAATAAAACAAAATTAGAATAATTCACAAACAATTTGTACATAAAAATACATAAATAGTATAAAAGTACAGTAAAGAAGTACAAGAATAAAGTATCAATTTGAAATATATAAAAACAAAATAATAAATAAAAAAAAATATTTAAAAATAATAAAATTAAATATTGAAAACTATATAGAAAATTTACAACACAAAAATTTTCAATAAATAACAAATAATTTTTTATTTTGTTTTTTTTTTTTTTTAATTTAATATTTAAAATTAAAATGAATTTGTTTTTAAAATTTTTCCTTTTTATTTTTTTTTCTTTGTCAAATAATTGTTATATTAAATTATTAATTCTATTTTTTATATGTTTATGTATACATTAATACACTATATATATATAGAAATGTATATGTATATTAATAAAAATTTTGTTTGTGAAAAGACAAAAAAAAAAAAAATAACTACACTGGCATTTAATTTACTTACCAAAAATGAAGCTGTTAACATTTTTAATATTTTCTGTTAGTTATAAATTAACAGTTTCTTTTATATGCAATAATTATGGCGTTTTTATTTTTTTTAATGAAAACAATTATCATCATTATATATTAATTCAATATAGAAGTATTTATATATGAGATATTAAGTTCAAAGTATATAAGTGTCCAAAATATATATATATATATATATAAATTTCTCGTATTGGCTTTTGTTTTTGTACATATAGACGACAGTAATAATATATGCATAGTAGTGGTTTATTCAAACTTAAAAATATTATAGTAAAATATTAGTCATAGTTATTTTCTTTATATACTTGGTTGATTAGCAGTGTAGTAGTTACGAATTTTTTTATATAGTTTGTTATATAATACTGTTGTTTTCGTTTTTCTTTTGGTTTTGTTAATTTTTTGTATTATTAATTTATACATGTAGGTATTCTTAAAAATTTGTGTTGAAACATTTGTTTTTTTTTTTCGTTTCCCATTGTATCTTTTATATATATAATATTTATTATATGTAATTTGCGCATTTTTATATATATATAAATAAAATTACATATATTTTTATTAATAATTTTTATTTTCATTTTTGCATTAATTATATTTTAGGTATTTGGTGGATAAACGCCTCCTTCTATCTTCTTGAAGGCGATGTTACCACAATGTCTCGTTTACAAAAGGCAGGCCGGCTGATAAAACGATTTTAAATAATGTTATGTGTATTTTAATTTATAAATTAATTTTTTTAAATAATTTTTTTTTCTATTTTTTTTTTTAAGTATAATTAATAAATAAATTATTATGATTATTTTTTAAAATATAAAATCATATTCAAAATTAACATGAAAATTAAAAAATTAAATAAATAATTATATAAAATGAGTGTATTTTAAAACAATAAGATAATAAAAAAAATTAAATTAAGAAAAAATAAAATAACAAAAATATAATTAAAAAATTAATATAGAATTTAAATATTTTACAATAGGATTTTTAAGGAATACAAAGTTTTTGATATATATATATAATATATTGAAAGATCAATAATATAATAGGATATAGAAGACATCATTACATAAGAAATTCATTTAATATTTTATATATTTAATAATAAGTATATAATAATGTATATAACAAGAGTATATATTAAGAAAATACGATTTATATTTATATAAAAATCACAATATATAATTTGAAATTATGAAAAATTTTTTATCTTAAACTCCTTTTTTTGTTTTTTAAAATTAAAATATATTTAAAATTATATAAAAAAAATATGTGTTTCATTTAAAATTTCAAATATAAATATAATATATATATTTAATTTTGTTATTATAATAATAATTTTGAAAAAAAAAAAAACAAATTGTGGTTATGTAAATAAAAAAGAATAGGAGAAATTTTATGTGTTAGAATTTAATTATTTGTTTCTTTTCATTTTTTTTTTGATATAGTATATAGTATAAGTATTATATAAAATGCACACAAATAACATTAAGAATAAAGTATGGTATTTTTGTTTTTATATCGAGAACCAAAAATAATATTGGCAAAAAAATTTATTAAACAAAAAATATTTAAAAAAAATTTTATTTATTATTAATTAAATTCCTAAATATTTTAATTTAATTTCCAATTTCATTTAAAAATATATTATCAATATTATAAAAGGAAAAAGAAAAACAAATTTCAAACTTTTTATTTCCTTTCCAAAAAATTCTAATAAAATACAAAACTTTTTTTTATATAAATAGAGAGAGAGAGAGAGAGAGATTTTTTATATAAAGAGAGAGAGAACGTAATATAATTGCAGTAATTATATAATCAAATTAAAGCGAATTTAAAATTAATTTTTATAAAATTTTATTAAAAATTTTTAAAAATTTTGCAGGAAAAACATAACAATTTGAGTGTTTATCAAAAATAAAAATAAAGAACAGGAACTCACAGAAAACAAAAACAAAAGTAAAGGACATACAAAAAATTAAATTTGAAAATAAATTTTAAAAAGAAAATTTTTTTTTCAATAAAAATATTTTTTAATGCAAAAATTAACTATTTTCAAACAATTTAAAAAAAAAAATAATTAATTAATTTTATAGTTTAAAAGCAAACTATTTAAAAAATGAATAGCATTGGCAGATGTTTCTTCAAAAATTTCATTTTTTTTTTCAAATAAATTACTCTAAATTAATAAAAAAAAATAATAATAACAAAAAAATAGATATAACAAAAAATGTGTTTTTATATGAATTTGGTTTTTTTAAGTTTATATTTTGGGTAATATAAGAGTGTAAAGCTAAAAGGTATGTGATTTGTATTTAAAAAGAGAGAATCGACATTGTATGAATAGAAATGTAAGAAGATTACAAACTGATTTTTCTAAAAACACCAACACTTTCCACATGAATTCCACTCGGAACTCCCAGAGAATTTCCATCTTTTTTTCAATTTTATTTTTTTCTACTCTTTTATTTTAATTTGTAGATTTTTTTCATAGAAAAATCTGCAAATAAAATTAAAAATATTAATAAAATACGAGTTAACAAGGCACCCTATGGTCCATGCTATCTTTCACTTTTTTCAATCAACCTATTAATAAAGTAGGTTTTCTTTATTAGTAAAGTTTTGACTTTTGATTAAAAATATGTAAAAAGCAAAAGTGTGCAGTAGGTATCATTTTCACCTATACTTATAAACTTCTTATATTATTTTGAAAATTTATTTATAATAGATTTTTATAGATTTTTATCGTTTATTCATTCTAAAAAAGGGAAAAGGACGTAATCCGAATAAAAACAAGTTTTCATTACAGGATGCCTTTAAAGTTGGAATAAAAAGAATTCGTTCGAAATATAATATCGTTATATCGATTCTGAAGTTTTGAAAATAGTGTTACCATTGCAAATTTATAATTTCTTCAAAAGAATTATTCATTTATTTTTTCTTCATTTACTTTTTTTTCAAAAATTTAAAAAATATATACAGTTCGAAATTAAAGAAAACAGGAGGAAAAAACTTCAATTTTTATCAAACTCTCATTTGCTAAGAAAAAATATCCAAACGAATTGATTACTCTTTTTTTAACGAACCAGATCTACATTAAGGTCATTTATTAAAAATACCCTTATAAAATTTAAATAACTCACACAAAAAAAATGTAAAATTTTTAAACAATAAATAGATCGCTCTCACACTTTGTAAAATAGAATTTGAAAAATCTTTTACAAAATTCCTGAATTTATGAATCTGAGAAACCTACATAACTTTAGGTAAATTATAAAGAATAATAGAGAATTTCCAAGATGAAGTTTAACATAACATTAAAGTAAAAAAAAATTTTGTTCAAAAATTTAAATCTTCTGTCAGACAAAATGTGCAAATTTGAACAGATCTAAATAATGAAAATTTCCTCATATATATTTTGCTGTTCCTATCAAATACAATTTTCTTTGGTTGTCCATAAATATAAATATATTTGTAACAGGCGCAGAAACTGACCGCTATATTATTGAGGAAAAATAAATAATTTAAAGAAAGTCATAAAACAGTTCGAAGAAGTATGGAAAAACGTGTATTTCCAGTTCTTTATTGCATTTTAATTTAAATTTTTATATAGTGTAAAATAACCCTTTAAATAGTGTAAAATTAATATTGTATATAAGTCTCTTTGGTTTTAAATCTGACTTTTAGGGGTTTTGTTGATTTAGGGATGTTTTTGGAAAATAATGAAAACTTAATTAAAGCATTTCAACATTTTTTTGGAAATAACAAACTTTTACTGCAATAAAATTAAGAAAATTATTAAAGCCATTATTACTTTAAATTTTTACTCAAATAAAATTTTTAAATTGCTTATAGGGATGTGCTAATGGGATTTTTTTTGTTTGTTCCTTTTGCATTACTGAAATACTGAAATTGCGTAAAAGAAAAATATTAACACCAAACTTTTGTTTTAACTCACATATAAAAAAAAAATATATAATTGGAAAAATGTTGAAAGAATTCAATTTTCTACAGTAATAATTTCTTAATTTTTTTATACATTTTCTTGAAAGCAAACACATTAAAAAGCAATGAGGAAGCATTTCTTGTTTTAAAATTTTCATAAATTGATTATTTGCAAAAATATACTTTAAAATATTAAAATTAGAAGTGTTACCACTCTCACAAACTGTTTTGTTTTCTTTTAATCAACAAATTGGCCACAAGTAGCAGAAGAAGCATTTTTTTTTCTTATTTTTTTTTTTGTATTGTGCACGCTTATACCACACAACAAAACAATTATGTAATATTACAAAATGTCAAATGAAAATTGACAAATTGAAATTTTCAATATTTAAATACTTTATTTAATTTTAATCATATCTATACCTTTTATTTGTTAATGTGTTAATGCATTTTTTTTTAGAATATATATGTACATGTTTTTGCATACATATATACATATTTAATTGTTTAAATAATATATGTGTATACTTGTATTTTGTTACAGGATACTATACAACTTTGTTTCAATATGCCTTTATCTTTTTGTTTTTTTGTATGTTTAGTTTGTTTTTTATTATTTTATTTAACAAATTTTAATTTGACTCATCAATTTATCATCTTTTTAATTTTTTTTTTAAATCCTTCTTTTTTAACATTTCATATATATGTATATTATATTCATTAACATTCATAATCTAATGGCATTGAATCAACAGAATCTATAAGTATTTGACATCACATTTCTTCCCCTACTTCGTTACTACTCGGTATGTAAATGTATTCGTAGCCTCGATTATATGTATAAGTTCTGAAACTGATTTAAGTATAAATTTGAAAAAACAAAACAAAAAATAAATAACTAAGCTTAGAAACTATATATATATTTTGTATTAAAATATAATTATACGTATATATATTTTGTTTTTTTAAAAAAAAAAACCAAAAAATATTTATGCAGAAGATTAAGCCGATTTTAATTAAAATAAAATAAAATAAAAAAATATAAATTATATATTTAACTACCTATGCCATCTAATCTACAAAAAAAATGAAGCGATTTGCACATTTTTTTGCGAACACTTAAACTCTTATTATATTGTAAACACAACAATATCATATTAAATTCACTTGTATATTTCAACTCTGAAATGAAACAGAAGATATTAATTATATAAAAAAAGATACATATACTATATATATATATAATATAGAAATTATTGAGTATAGTGCGATAATGAGATATATTAATATATATACTCATAAAACGTTATTATTAAGAGAGTATAATCAAAATCAATATGTGAGTTAAATGCTCATAAATTTTTTATATTTAATTTTTGCGAAACAAAAGCATTTCCTATATTTATATTTTATAATATTTTAAGAAAAATTCTCATGTATTTTATTTATCAAAAACATATACAGACAAGAATATTATGTAAGTTATGTGCTTAAAAAAAAATTTTATATAAATATATTATATATTATAAATGATATTATAATGACAAAATTTTGTATAACGAGACCAAAGTTATTAATAATTTAATTAAACTGAAAATTATGATATATTTAAAAATTATATTAAAATATTTTTACTATATATATATATATATATATATCGGTTCTAATTTTCAATAAAATGTATTTTATATATGAATTAAAGGAATTATTATTATTAATATTCATCTTTTATTGAAGTAGTCACTAATAATTATTAGGAAATTGAATAAAATGAATTTATATAACTTTATATAACACAATTTATGAAATAATTGAATTCTAAACAATATCGAAATATTAGAGATCAAAATTTCTCACGTAATTTCAATAAAATATTTAAATAAATCATAATTTTCATATTCTTTTTCTTTTTCAAAAAACGAAGCACAAAATTAAAATTTGTTTTTTATTCCTGCAATATTATTGAAATGGTGTTTATAGTTAGTGAATTCCCAATTATTTGAAATTGTGTAATTGTGTATTATGTGATCACATAGAGTGTATTAAATTTTTATAATTCCTTTCTTTCAATTCGTATTGTTTGACAATTAATTTGTTTTTGGACGAACGGAGGAGGGATTCGAATTTATTTGGTGTATATGAATGTGAATGAAAGTGTGCTTAATTCACAATTTTTATTTTTTTTTTTATAACATATAATTTTATTTTTAGTGTGTGTGTTTATGTGTAAACATCAAACATATTATTAAAATTTATATTTTAAATATATATAAATATAATTACGTTTGACATTTAAGTGAGAATCGATGTCTTTTTTTTTGTGTGTTATAGTGTATGTGTATGAATAAAAAATAAATTAAAAGAAGGCATCTACCAAAGCAATTTTAAGTTTTTTTTTTTTAATAAAACTTATTATTTCAATTCAAAATAAAATAAAATTAAAGTTTGTCAATTAATTGAGTAAAACAAAAATTGTTATTATCCAAATTAAAAAAAAATAATAATAATAATTTATAAAAAAAAAAATATTTTTTTTCACTTTTTTTTTATTAAATTTTATTTCAATATCAAATTCAAAAATGTAACAAAATGGGAAAAAAATTACTATAATTAAATGCGGATTCTTAATTAAGAAAAAAGATTATGAAAAAATCAACAATTTATAGAAAATTAATATAAAAATACGTGGCATGATAAAAAAAAACTTTATTAAAAATATTATATAGGAAATAATTAGGAAAAAATTATTTCAAAAATATGAAAATCTTATAAAAAATGTCTATAAAAAAATTTAAATTAAAAATTTGAAAAAAAAGAATCGAAAAACCAAAATTAGAAAAATCAATTATTTTAATTTAATCGAATTACTTATTAAAACTAAAAATAAAAATTATTAATTCTTTTTCTTTCTTTTCTCTTTTTTTTTTGTATATAATAAAATAAATTCTTTTTTTTAATAATTAATGAACAAATATTATTAAAAAAAAAAAAAACAATTTTTTTAACATTTTAATTAGAATTTTTTTTGTTTTTTAATTAAAAATTTCATTTTTACTTTCATAATAATATAATTTGCCAAAGAGAAGAAAAAAAAGAAAAAAGAAAAAAAGAACTCACCTCGCGTTGTGACCCAACAAGATGATATTTCTGCAAGTATAATGAGAGAACGAATTTATATAAAAAAGGCATAAAATTATAAAATTTAGCAGCTATTAATTATTAAACTAAACACTAATATAATTATTTAAAATTAACACTATTTAATTTACAATAAAAATTAAAAGAAAAATAATTTTTTTTCCTTTGTCTTATTTTTTTTGTAATTTTGATTAGAAAATAATAAATTTTATAATTATAAAATATAAAAAAAGTAAAATTTAAATGTGAGTTTTTTTGTTTTACACAAAAAAAAATCATAATTTTTATTCAATATAAAAATTAGTTTAAATAATTTATAATATTATTTTTTTATATAATAGGTTTAAAACATATTTTAGTTCTTATATTAAAATAAATTATATTATATACAGGGTGATTCAGTAATGAGTACAATATTATACACCATCATTTATGGAAAAATTTTCTTTCAGAATTTGGCGACAAAATTTAGTTTTTCGAAATACAGATATTTTAATAATATTTGATCAAATTTTTACCAGTTCGTGTTGCTTTGCTTATTGTTTCCCTTCCAAAGCTTATAAGAGGTTGAACCTGAACATTTTTAAAATGAGTTATTGAAGGCCTGAAATGAACATTATTTTTTATTTTATATTTTGTGCACTCTTGAAATATCAAGGATTCTTATTGTAGAGAAAATAAAAATGTTTTCCCTTTTCATCACTTTTATAAAAAAAAATGTGAATAAAAAGTGCTCATTAGTTTCACCCTGTAAGTTTAAATTTTCATTTAAGTACAGTCTAAGTCCGTAAAAATTTTTAAACTTTACAAAGCAAAAAAGGTAGCACTAACAAATAATTTACTTCATTAAAGGTGAATTTTTTTCCACTTCAACCCTCTATCAGGTTATCAGCTCTCGAAATTCGTAAAATTATAATTTTATAATACACTATATTTCAGAAACAATAGGCTTTTCCAAATCTATATAAAAGCGAAAAGGTAAACGGTGAATGTCATACCATTAAAAAGTATAAATATTTATTTGAACTGACTTACTTAACTGTCCAATTCAACTAAAGCTAATGATTTTTTTCACTTTTTTTTCTTTCGCTCGTCCTAAAAGTATGCAATTAATTGATATAACCTAATTTTATTTTTTTTCCTCGTTTACCTATAATATTTCGTATTAAATTCTTTTTAACTTTAAAAATTATATTTATAGAATTTTTTCCCGTTACCTAAGTTTTAATTTAAATCATAAAACGGAAAAATATCTTACTTTGTCCAGGAGATATAGCATTTTAAAATTTGAAACCATTTGCATTACAAAATTTGAAATACCTAAATATGAAATATAAACTGAAGCAATTGCCCATATTTTTACTTTTTATTCATTTTGAGTGCTATAGGTAATTATTAATTTTTATTAATTTTTGATTAAAATGATCACTTTAAAAAGTAGTTGAAATTTTTGGCAATGGTAACATTTATTAAAAAAAAATAATTTTAAGACTTTTATTGAAATACAATTGATTTTAGAGAAAAATTTGTATGGTTTTAGCTTTTCCTTCTTTCCAGGGTACCAAAAACGATAAAAGAGTTCCAGAGTAAGATCCGCCACCGTTCACTAGATTATTCAAGAACGAAACCAATGGTTCGAATCCAGTTCGAGGAGAAAAAAATTTTAATTTTTCTGTGTTTTACTCGTTCCTTTGATTACGTCATCCATCAGCTCTGCAGTTGTATGAAGAAATTTCCATTAAGTTAATAGGATTTGTAGATTTAATGTGGCTCAGATCTTATCATCAAATATTCTTAAAATAGCTATATCTCAAAAAACCATCGCGTTTTGACACCAACTCCTAAACAAAACGTTTATACATATTTCATTTTCTAAACGATTGTATATAATATTGCAATCATTACTAAATTAACCTGTATAAAAAATAAATCGTAAAATAAAATCATAATATATTTAATTAAAGAAAAGAATATTACACCATTCTATGTAATATATTTATATATATAAATATATATATATATGGATCTTAATATATATATACATGTATATAGTTATAAAAGTATACAAAAAATTTATATTAATTTATAAATTATTATTTATTAATATTATATAAAAATTAAATAGTTATACAGAGGTGAAAAAAAAGATATAAGTTGGTGAAAATAACAAAAGGTGAATTATTAGAATTCAGTTGTTTTCATCCCTTTATAAGCTTACATTTTTTTTTTGTTTTTTCTTTTACAATAGTGAAAAGTTAAAAACAACCAAAAATAAGAAGGAAAAATAAAGTAAAAGAAATTAAAATGAAAAATTAAATAAAATATTTTATAGAGTTACCAATAATTGAAAAAGTGGTGAATATAATAATTTACTTCTAGGTAACTTTTATTCCTTCAAATAGGTGTGAAGAAATAAAGAAAAAAAAATAAAATACAGAAATGTAATTATGCAATATTGTTGTTTTTGTTTTTGAAAAATGTTAATTATTCCGAATGTGGGGTAATAAAAACAATAACGTTTTTTTTTCGGACCGATTTTATATTTTTATATAAAGAAAAAAAAATAAAAAAAAAATTGCAATGTACACACATAAATATACAAGTTATAGATGCATTAATGTACCTGTATATTATATGTACATATTGAGGATATTACAGTCAAAATATGAAAATCCTTACAGAAATATTATTCTGTAGCTGTTCTTTTTATTTTTTAGAATTACGGTATTAAATTTGAACATTAAATAAATTTTAATTTTCTATTTCATTATTATAACGTATATGTAGTATTCACACAGTAAACAAATTTGAATGAAGTCAATTGGTTTGTAAAATAGCACGTTTCCATTGAATCAATGTAAACGCTTTTTGATTCTTTAAATTTAACCCTCTTTTTAAATTACCCTATTAATAAATTAAAATTAATTTACGCATATTTTTCGAAATACAATAAAAATTATAAAATATTAAAATATTGGTCAAATTTGACGAGCAATTAGGGTAACAGGGTGTTACGTTTTTATTTCTTTTTAAACTAAAAAGAAACAATTTTGAATTTTGTTAATTTAAAGCAAAGACTTTTGCAACTTATGATTATACAATCATCTAAAGACTTTTTTCTGCTTTTGCTGAATTTAAAAAAAGCTGTGAATTTTTACTTCAACTTACAAAAAAATTACATTTTTCGAATTTTAAGGGATAATAATTTTTAAATGGGTGCGAAATGCATAAAAATAATCATATGAAAAAATTAAATTTCCGCGGAGATTCATTTTTATATGAAATGTATACGTATACAAATGAAACAGCCACATGGATGGATGAACAAACGAACGAACGATCAGACGGTTTGATTGAATGGAAATTATTGGAAATGTGCTAAAAGCAAAATTTATTAATTTCAGTTGTAAAAACATTAAATTTGAAAACATTACATGTTTGTTATCTTTGTTGAAAAAAAACACATTCTTATTATAGGAAGGTACAATGCAAGTATCAAATTTTGACTGTTAATCAGACAGGTTATTTTAAATAATAATATTTATTTAAAATTCATAAAGAACATCGATTTACATATATAGTTTGTTGTGAAAAGCTTTAAATTTAATTTTATATTTTAAAAGCATTGTTTTGTTTGTATTTTTATTATTAAAATTGTTTTGTTTCTTATAAATTTTTTTTTATTAAATTTTTTGTATATTATTAAAATATCGTTTTTTTCCTTTAATTGTTTCTAATATTTTGTTCAAACAAAAAATAAACTACTTATGATATTTTGTAATGTTGTAACGGTGATGTAATTTCTGTAAAAAGCCAACAAATTTTTTTTTTTTTTGAATTTTAAAAAATTGTTTTATTTTAATTATTTCATTGTCATATTTAATGGTTTTGTATATATAAATATATTTATATATATTTGTGCAATATAATTATAACCTAAATTTAATATATATACTTTTACATAAAAGCTTCAAATGCACAATATCAACAGAAAGTGTTTAAATGTATATTTATTTTTTTTTTGTTATAATTAAACTCGAATTTACTACATTGCTCAATTTTACACTTACTCTCATTTTACTGCACTCTAATAATTTTTAGCGATACTATTGAATAATATTCTCAAAATTAAAATTAAAAACGATTTCCTTGCCAGAAATAATAATCATGTATTTTAAATCATGTCATAGTAAATTGATTTTCAGATTTATTCTATATTTTTATTGTGATTTGCTTTACAAATTATTTATCGAAAAAAGAATACAATAAATCAACACAAGCTTGCAAAATTTTATTCGAATATTCTGAAGAAGCGGCCTCTTGTGTCATATTTCAACGTGAATATATGAAAAATATTAATTGTAAATTTGTATGTGCAGTTCATTTGCTGCAAATTTCTAATATGCATTAAAGAACCTATTATTAACTACATACATGGTATAAATGTTATTTGTTTACTATAAACATTTTCTTTTTTATTTCGTATATGAACCGCAATAAATAATATTTTAATTTTGGGAACTAGTATATGTATGTATATAATTTATTTTTTAATAATTTTCTTGTAAATCAAACAATTGAAATATCTATAATGAAACTTAATAATATGATGCGTATACAGATGAATATAACAGAAAAATTCTTGTCAATTTTAAAAAAATAAAAGAAAAATTAAATTAATTTTCCAAATTTTTCCGTATACCACTCATCGGTTCCCAAAATTTTTGTTTTTTTTTAATGTCATCGTTTAAATAATACCTATTTCACGCAATTATTTTTTTTATAAATATTTTGATATTAAGTGCATCCTATTTTAAGCAAAATTAAAAATTATTCATAATGAGCCTATAATTTTCCTTGAAGCCCTTAAGATCTTATTCAACGTTTAATTATTATTTTAATTACAGATTTCTTTGCTGACGAATTTTATATTAGTTTATTAAATTTTCAATGTTATAATATTATAATTTAATAAAATTTTAGAATAAATATACATTTAATTTTTAAATATTTGGATGATTTTTTAAATAAATTTTGGTATGTATTTTATAATACTTTTTTTTAACAAAAGACTTGTTCAATAAATCTTTTGTGATTTTATATTTTTCTAGAAACCTCAAAACTCATCATGAATAATTCATTAAATATATGATTATATTTAATCAGTGTCTTATTTATATTTAATATTTCACTATATGAAATGTGAATTAAATTAGATTTTAGAAAAAAGTGTTAAGTGTTTGCTTGTATTCTGCATTATTCGATTTTATATTGTTGTACACGACCAATTTTATTTTAAAAATCCGACATTGAGTGTATATTCAGTTTTTGTCTTTTAATTGTAATATAGTTTGTAATTATATGTTAAAACATTGCTATTTACATTATGATACACAGTCGACACAATATTTGCAGTATTAAAATGCGAAAATTCTTTTTTTAAAAAAATAGAATTTTGTATAAATATATACAATGTATGGTTTTATTTTTTTAACAATAATTATATCGCAATAATGGTGAAAATTATTGACTCAGAATAATTATTATTGCAAAATTATTTATGAAAATGAATTACATTTTTAATATATTAAAATACTAAAAATTGATTTTATAAATTTAATTATTTAATTAATAAAATAAAAATTTAATTAATTGAACACATAATTTATTTCAACTTATTTTATAATGTAAATAATTATTCAAGAAATCTAAAACAATATGCGACAAATGATTCTTAATCACTTGAAATTTAATATCCAAAATTCAGAAAAGTTTGTGAAAATGCATTAGAATTAAGGCGAATTACCTATAATAAATAACTTAAAGAAATATATACAATAAAAGAAAACAAATGTTGAATTGTATAAACAAAATTAATAAATTTCAGAATTACTATATTTTTGATTTTAAGACTATGGCCAAAGTATTTAAATTTTAAGAGTATGGCCAATTGGCAAACTAATCGTGTATCTCGCTTTCTCATTCCGTTTTTTATTTACCTTCAAATCAGAATTCTCATTTTTTGTAATGAAATATCATTTTCTCAATAAAATTACTCATTTTTTCAATTGGATTTTCTTGTATTGCACTTTCTCTCAAATTTTCAATTGAACTTGTTACTTTTGAAAACAAAGTAATGTGTGCGTAATGGTGACTTTTATAATACAATTTAGAAAAACCAAGATACGCAATACGAAAAAAATGTTCTCACTCGAAAATTTATCTTTTACGAATACGTCATATATAAAATTTACTCACTTTTTTTTTGTTGAGCGATTTAACTACTAATTTTGTTAAAATCTTAAATTTTTAAGTTCAAAATTAAGGTGGAATCATTCGATTACGGTAATCAAATTAGAAAATATTTATTCGATTCTGAAATATTTAGAAATTTTGTAATTTCCAAATCCTTTCCTAATAATAATTATCCTGATTTCAATACTTTCACATATACGAGTATATTGTTTAAAAAGGAAAAAACCCTTTGTAATCAAAAAGGACCTATGTTTTTTACATTCCTTTTCAGAAAAAAAATTAAGTATAACGTAAATTTAGAATTTTTTTTAAAGAAAGTAAAAGAAAATAGTGATTGTTTTAGTTATACAAGAATATTAACAAAAAAAAAAACCAGAACTCAATTCAGGAATTTAGAAAAAAAAGAAGCGTTTTTAAATCTACAGAAATTTTTTTTTAATTGAAATTAAATTTTGTTTGAATTTTTCAACTATTTAAAATTATAATTATTTTTATAATTTATAAATAGAATTTTGTATTAATTTTTATTTTTTCGATTTTCATATTCCAAAATGAAATATTTTTTTTTTTTTAATTTTATTATTATATAAAATATAATATATATATGTATTTTTTTTATTATATTTTGAGATACTTTTTTTTTTTTATTTAATTAATAATTTGATTTTTATGTTTTGTTTTTTTAATTTATTTTCATTTTTCCTACCGAATTATCGATTTCAATTTCAGCATATTCACAACAACATTGGCAACGGAGTATAGCGTGACCAGTTTTTCTGGAAAATTAATTTTGATATGAAAAAAAATATGGAAAAAAAAGAAAAAGTTTTTATTTAATAAAAATATGCAAAATAATTAAAGTATAAAACTAAAAACTTAACAATTCATTAACAATACTTGTAAAAATACAATAAGAAAAAAAAACAATTGTTAGTTTCTTTTTTTATTCTCTTATTATAATTTTTTTTTTTAAATATGAAAAAAAAGAAAAGTTCATTACGAGCTTGGGATTTGTTAATATTTTTTTTTAAATATTTAAAAATTTTTTTTAATAAAATTTAATATAAAATATTTTTTAAAATATTTATTTCAAAAATGCAGAAATTTTTTAAAATAAAATTAGAAACAAAAATTTAAAGTAAGAAAATGTAATTAAAGTTTTTTTTTTTTATTCGTAAATTCTCATAAAATTTCAAGTACATATTTTTTAATTTACGTGTAATATTTATATTAAAAATTATATAATTTTTCTATTTACGGAAAATTGGTCCCCTAAAAATAACGTACTACCTTTCTTATAATTTCTTTTTAAATTCTAAGAATCAGTTTCCAATTGCCATTTCTTATTGTCATCTACTTAAGTATAATTACCATACTTAAATATGTCATATTTATTGAATATTAAATTTATAATTTTCCAAACGAAAATTTCATTATGTTTCTAAAAGTAAATCATTGATTTGACCCAAATGCGGCTCTTTCACTTATTTTCTTCGGCTCACTAAAATTTTCATAATGCATACAATGTGCGACTTAATATACAAATATTCTCATAAAAATTATTTTATAAAAATATGTTTTGTTTTGTTTAATTAAATCGAATTGTAATATTAAAAATTTATTCATGAACTATAAGGCTATTTGAGTTGACATTACATTTGTGGAAAAACCAATTAATAGAAAATGATTCCACACATTTTCGGTTGTGACTATTTTCGAATTTCGGATGTGATTCCACAAGAGAATATATAAATATATTTAAATTCAATGTGCACGCAAAAACCGTTTAAAACTCACGAACTATGCAATCACTGACCAATTAAATCTTTCGCTGCCTATGTATATAAATTCTCTTAATAACATAACAAATGTTATACTTTAGTGAAAGAAGTGCATCTCCAATAGCGAATATTTTACATAACTTTTTTAATATTTTTAATTAAAATAATTTTGATCGATGCAAAAATCGATGGACAAAAATTGAATTAATATTTCCTCCTTTAATTTTTCCTGAAAAATTTTTCGATTTATTTATTTTATAATAATTACAGTTAAATATAAGAAAGTTATAGCAATAATTGTAGTGTTACCATTGTCTATTTGATGACCAATGAAAATTATCTAATATTAAATCAATAAATATACAAGAATGATTTCAAGCTTCAAATTACCACAAATATATAAGTAATTATTTATGACAGATATAGCGATCGAAATTTATTTTGTTTAATATAAAATAAAAATATTTGTAAAAAAATATGTTAAGACACTTAAAATCAATTTGTTTCTCGAAGGAGATTTATGATTGAAATTTTACAACATTAAACTAAAAAAAAAATTTATAATTTTTAGCAATAATTTTTAATTTTTAGCAATAATTTTAATTATATGAAATTATGGATTCTATACAAAAATTAATTTATTATTTTATTTTTATTTTTAATTTTAATTTTTAAAGTATCAATAAATCTCCTCTCTATAAATGCTTTTATTACATCTTCCTCTTTTTGTATTATTTTTAAAAAAAATTAAAAAAAAACCCTGTATTTATAATGTAAATATGTTATTATTTTCTAAAATTTCATAATTCTATAAAAATTATTAAATAAAATTAATAAAATAAAATTTAAGATTATTAAATAAAATTTTATATAACATAGTCTATATGATAAAATATTATAAAATTCATATTTTATTAGTCTAACCAGACAAAAAAAAATTATTTGGATTATTTCATTTTAAATAAAAAAAAAGCTTATTTTTTTTAATTTCTATATGTTATTATTATTATATAATGTTCACAATATTGTATAGTATATAATAAAATTTATTTAAAACAGAAAAAAAATCGTATATAAAAAAAAATAAGAATATTTAAAATCACTATTATTAATAAATTAGTAAAAAAAAATTATTGTTATTATTATTGCAAAATAAAATTGACTGACCTCTGAATGTAAAACTTATTAATTTTATTATTCTTTTATTTTCATACTCACAAAATTATATACTTAATTACATATACATAAATGTGTAATATGTATTTTTTATTTAATGTTTTAATTAAACTTACATTATGTTTAATTAAAATAATATAATAATTATACTCTGAAAAATTATTCTTTTTATGTATAATTTATACCTATATATACGTATACGTAAAACCTAATAAATATTATAATTTAATAATATAATTAAAATAATTACCTTAAAAGTCTTGTAATATAATCAGGCCAATTTTCTGGAAACATAACAAGAAAGAATCCAACCGCAATTAATATAACACCAGCTAATTTCATACCAGCAAATGTTGCACTATAAAGGATTACATCTAGTGCTGTGATTTTGTTTATTATATATAATATATATATATATATATATATAAGTGTTTATGTTTGTTTCATTATGTCATTATTATATATAAGAATTTGTTGCATTATATTTTAATATCACAAAATAAAAAAAAAATATTATTTTAATAATGAATTATAATAGATTTAAAAATAATTGCTATTATAACAATAAAAATTACACTCAAAATTTAAATTTTTAGAAATGATATTCAATTATATTTTAAAATAATGTACTCAATTATATATAAGTTAAAAAAATTTCTTAAAAATTAAATAAATTTTGTATACAAGAATGACAAATTAACTGTATTAAAATTTTAATGATTTTTGAAATAATTTAAAAATATATCAAATAAAATTAATTTTAGCGAAATAAAATCAATTTTAAAATAAATCTTTAACGAGAAAAAATAGAGTTGACCGTGTAAACTCTGTGATACCCGTACGAATTTCCTATTCGTTATGCGAATAAATATATCATAGCTGACTATGGGACAGATGATAACTTTAAGTTACCATATTAATTTATGCAAAATTTCAGTACTAGGTTTTCTAAAATATGGCAAAACTACTATTGAAGTTGTATTGTAGCTACCAGAAAGAGCCAAGCAATTTCAACGAATTTTATAAAACACATTGGCCTTACTAATATATTCCTTTGTATGAAATTTCAATATCACAGCTTTAATAGTTTCTAATATATTGCCAAATAATTTTTGAAGTCGTATGGCAGCTACCCGAACCAGTACCCCGATCATATCCAATTTTAATAGGGTACTGGCTTCTACTATAATATATCATTTGCTAAAATTTGGTGAGCTTAGCTCAATTAATTTTTGAGTTACCGTTGGGATGGACGGACAGACAAAGCTAAATCGACTAAAAAAATTTGTTCTACAAGTATATATAGCAATACTTTCGAATGATCATATGATTTAATTAAAGGTAAACTCATGTTGACAAGTCTAAGTTAAGGCTGTAATCGCAGCCAGTTTTTATATATATTGTTAGGCAAAAATCGCAATCCGCTTTAATTTATTTAGTTCTGGGAATATTCTACAGCAGGATTTGTAGCTTCTGACTATTAATTAATATTAATTCTACTTTTGCGTTTTATTAAATTTTATTTCGCTTTGGCAAATCTAGCAATTCACAATCTTACAATACGGTACAGTTTTACTAAAAATGTTTTAATAAATTTAAAGATAAAACAATTGAGTATAATCAGATTCTTTTTTTTTTACTTCACTCGTAGGAGATACAAAGGGCTGGGGCTTGATATTGTAGAAAGCCATGAACCAGTTTCTTACGTAATTGCGTTTATAAATAGTTAAAAGAAATAAAATGAAATTCAAATATGTAAATATCAGAAATATGGACATATTGCTTGATTTGACTATGTTTTTCAATTACAGGTCCCTATATTATTTTTATGGTATAAATTTATAGATATAAATATTAAGAAATTTTATAATTGTCCATAGTACTCGTATATCTAATTCCTATATACATACATAGCATCAAAAGTTTAAAAAGTTAAAGTTTCCCGTTAGACTTTTTTAACTAACAAAATTTTCATTCTTTAACATTTTTTAAATTGAATATCATTTCTTAATTAATTAGTAGTATTAAAACTAAAACATAAAAAAAATATTTCTATTTAAAAAAAAATTTTAATTTTAATACTTTTAATTTTACAAATTAAAACGATTACAATTAAGGTACATTAAAATAAAACTAAAAATAGAACCTCCAGAAACTGGAACTGCTGTTATTAATCCCAATGTGACAAACATATTGTACGTTACTGCAGCACTAAATTGAGTTAAAATATGGAAAACTATAAGGGAAAACAAAAAACAACAAATTTTTAATATTTAATATAAGTCAATTAGAATAATTACACTTTGTAAAAGTATTATAATACCTAAAAGTAAAATACTGGCTATTAATAATATTATCCATGGCAGTCGATCAAATGGCATAACCTCTGTACCAGTTAAATATAATCCGACACATACTGGCCATAATAAGGTTGCATTTAAAAAACCTAACATTGAAAATGTAAATGCAATTTGTCCAATCGGTGGATCACCCATTACTTTTCGAAACATAACCTTGAATTAAAAAGAAAAATGTGTACATGTTAGTATATATAATTCAAAATATAATGTGTGGTTAAAATATAAATTTTTTTCATAATTATTAAAAATATTGTGTCCTAAATTTACCTTAAAAACAGCATAACCAGCTGCCGCCAATGCTGATAAAACGACACCAGCCAAAGTTGGACTACCGGTTATACCGTCCATATACGCCAATAGAGCAATTCCTGTATCACATAATATTACAGCTACAATCTATATTAATATAAAATTTGGTTAAAAAATATTTATTTAAAAAATATATAGAACGTTAAGGCGAATAAAATTTTTCTTATACCAGACATAATTTTAAAAAAATGGAAATAAAAATAATTTAGTAATTGATTCAGTGAATAATAGTAATAGAATTTAGAAAACATTCTTTAGAAAATTGAAGTTTTAAGTAATTCCATTTAAAATTTCTTAATTCAATAGCTAAAATGAGAGTAGTACACTATATTTAATAGTCAAACGACAAAATCTTTGTGATAAAAATTGATTTTTAGTTATACCAATATGATTCAAAAAGTGCAACACTAGCTAATTAATTCAGTATAATACTTAATACTTGAGTTAGGAACGGTTTCCTGCTAAATAGACAAACATCTACAAATTTAAAGCTTAATGCGAATTTTTTTGCATATATGCGTATTTAATATTGAATGTGAAGTAATACAAAAATCTTTATAAAATTCAAATTTCACATTGAAAAACATTAATAATTTTAAAAATTCATTTTAAGATTATGTTAATGCGCTTTTAAAGTGCCAGAATTAAAAAAAATAATAATAACCAGAAAAAAATAAATAATATTAAATTTCAATTGAAAAACTTTAAAACTCATTATTTTTATGGTCTTATAGGGTAAAAATAATTGTAATATTGATTGCAATAATTCACCGCTGTCGTTGTTATTGCAATAATAAAGTTCTTTTTCTGCATTTCTTTGCAAAATTTATACAACAAGTATAACACAAACACTATAAATTTACATTTACGTGCCTTACTCACAATTCAAAAAGTACATAAAATCTTTATAAATATAATTTTTGTATGTATTTAAAAAAGTATTATAGATATTTAAAACAAATTGATTATTAGAAAAAAAAAACAAATAAATAAAAAAATTATTTTTAACTTACCCTCACTCCTACAAACTGCTCATGCAAAATAACCCATGATAATAAATAGACACATGCGACATTGGTGGCGAATAATGCTAATACATCGGTAGCTAATAAAGAGCGCAATGACATAGCATATAAGTATGTTGTTAGAACCCATAGAATGCAAAATGTAATACAACGGTTTAAGAATCGGCCTTTTTTTTTTGTTTTTTGTTTTGTTAAATTTAAAAAGAGAAACGAAACGAAAAAATTTTTAAATAAATAACCAAAATTGAAAAAGAAAAGAAAATATTAAAATATACCAATCGTAAATCCTCTATCACGAAAACCTCGTAAAACGTCACCTAATATTTCACCTGGCTTATCACATTTCCGAACAGATATTCTGCCAAGAATATAAATTGGAAAGAAGAAAAAACAAAAATTTGTACAAAACCATGACGCAAAGAATGGTGCATTAAAAACTGACGCTGTAGTTTTTAATTGACCTAATTGATGAGTTAATAAAAATCCGGATGTTGAATTATCTTCATTACTGCCACCTCTTTCATCAATTTCTGATGTTAGAACAGATGAAGTCTTTTCAGAATCTCTTGTTGTTGGTTCGATTGTCGGTGTACGAAATACATTCAAATAAAGAAATTTTATACAATGGGTTGCACCAACCCATGATGCTGTTACTAAAATTGTAACACAAACTCCAAAATACATCTATAAAATAATAATATTAATATAATAATTTTCAAAATATAACAAAATTTTGTACATATTTTACAATATATAAATAAATACATATAACCTAATAATTCCCAAAAACAAAAAAGAAACTATAAAAATCATATAAAATATTATAAATTTAATCAAAATTAATATTATATGGCTGTGGTGAATACTAAATTGAATAAAACAAAAATTATAATAAAGGAGAAATAATCACCTTTTGTGCCAATTCAGAACAGCATGATTCTTTACAAGCTCTAAGTCTTCTAATATGAACATTTGGTGATTGTGGAATTTCAGTGCCAGGTGATTCAAAATCATCATTTTCACTAGGTGCTGTACCACCACCAGTACGTGGTGTTATTTGTGTATTTTGTTCAATGGGTAAACAACCACCGACACCGCCGCTTGGTGTCATCTGTAATGGTTGAGTATTACCTGTATTTTCGTTAGGTTCATTACCGCCATGACTTGATGTTAATGAATCTTGTTGCGTTAATTGTGAAGGATTATTTGCCTCAATTATATTTGTAAATCCACCATATGGACCATTCGGTGAATCACCAGTAACAACAACTGATGGTGTTCTAACCCGTTTTGGGTTGAAAATAGCGGGTATTTCCCCGTCCTTAGTCATTATATCATTTTCCGATTAACATCACTTTATTTTAATTCATAATATTATATATGTATACATTTATTTACTTATGTACATATTATACATAATAATGTATAAAGAAAACAACCTGGAAAAATATAAAATTCTGTTTATATTTATTTTTAATTTTTCATTTTATGTCATTATTGAATTTTTATAATAAAATATTCATACGAAAATATCAATATAAGCTCATATACCAACTACTACATATTCGAAATATTATTTTATTGAGTAAATTTAAGAAAAACTGAAATGTTCTTTCATATGTTATGAACATTAAAATAACAATTATTTATTTTTCTGGTTAAAGTAACGAAATCCACATACACAATGCAGGAGTATTAGAATATGGTAAATATTTTATTAGAGTCAGAACTTTGAGATTTTCAATTCAGAACTCAATCCAGATTTGATCATCAGTTTGTGACCTTAAAGAGCCTTTTATAGTACCTGATATGATCTCAAGATTTCAATTATTTTTTATAGCAAATACGTTTTTGAGTAAGTTTTGGAAGTTAAAGAAAAACTGAGTTAATAAAATGGACAAATTGATGGTAAAAAGTACATTTTCATTTTTCAAATTAGTATGGATGTCGGAATTTTTATTAACACATTCACAAAATAATGTGTAAAATATAAATATAAAGAATTATTATGAGATTTCTTATTTCTTTTTCTTAATAACTATACAGGGAATTGGTTGAAAATGAAATATTTTTTTATTTCTTTAAACACGAATACAAGAATAATAAATAAGAGAAATTGAATAATAAAGGTGTGGGTTAACTAATAATAACTTCGGCATGTATTTTAAATTATTTTATTGAATCCTAGTCATAATCACTATAAAAGTATACCAATATATAAATATTGTACGTATATATTTCCGTATATACAAATATCAAATCAAAAGATGGTAACGGGTGCGTATCACGACTTTTTGTACAAGACATTAATTTTAATAAAACAATTATCCCAGGAAAATAACAGTAAAGACAATAACAATAATTATAAAAATTTTTATTTTAAAGAAGATGGTAAAAGTTACGAGTAAAATAAATGTTTTTTACATTTTTAAAGTAAAAAATAAATTTTAATTTGAGCCATTTGAATTTAAATATTTTTATTTCAAAATATTCAAACGAATATAACCTTTTAGAAAGCTCAAACACAAATCCAGAATTACCAAATTAACACAACATTTGTAACCATTGATTCGTATCTTCATCAAATTCAAAATTCTACTCTATTTACTTAAATACGATGTATTTTCAATAAATTTACTCTTTTTATCAATCGAATTTTCTAATTTTTCTCAATTTATATAAGATGTTTGTAGTTGCAGCAGTCACATTTGGAACTAAATCACTAAATAAACGCCAGCTGCAATTGTGTATATTTGTGGAAAACGTCAGCCACATAATACAAAAAATATTGTTCTTACTCGAAAATTTATAATGGTGTTCACTCACCTTCTTCTCATTCAATAATGGCAAAATTTTATGGAAAAATTAATTATGTTTTGTAAAATTTATTAAAAATAAATTCTGAAAAAATTTAATTACAAACAAAATTTATTAATATTTTTGGTTTCTTGCATAATAAGCTCACACTTAAAAATTATTATTACCCTAAAGCAACGGTAACTTACGTTATCTTAAATTAAAGAACTTTTCAGAAAAAACATTATGTTTACCGCGATTTTACATACACACTTATACATTAAAAAAATCATATATAAAGGAACAGTTATTATTAGATTTATTATTTAAACTTTTAACATTTTTGACACAATTTTTTATACTTTAAATAAATTCAATATCCTGTGACATATTTATTATACTAAAGAAAATATTTAAAACTATATAACCTTTTACGAGTACAAAGCGTCGAATATTCTAATAATGCTATACATTTCCGCTCTTTATAAATAATAAATTCCCTAAAGTTTCCAAGCTAAAGGCAAAAAAAATAAAATTTTGAAATTTTTTTAACAAAAACACATAAAAAAGCTTAAATGAAATATAAATATACAATGTCCTCGTGCTGTGTAACCTCAATATTAATGAATGGTAGGTAGATTGGGCGGTTTTCCTTAAATTTTTGTGCAGAAAAAACAACATTAATTTTTTTTCTCTCTCTTTTGATTCCTTCTTTTCTCTTATTAATTTACTCTTATTCATCCTGTGAGAATTTTCATTTATAAAATAGCTAGGCTACTACCTATGTAAAATTTTTAAAAATTTTAACATTATTTGAATTACATGTTTCGAAAAGCAAAAAAAGAGTGGTAAGATAAAAGCATAAAATTAATTTAATTTGGTAGGGTAAAAAGTTTTTTTTTTAAATTTCTTTAACTGCATAATTCTTTAAATTTATTCTTGTTAATAAAGCTTGTATACATATATAACAAATTGTACTATATATATGATATGCATAATTATGTTACATAAGGGACAAATAAATTTATTCCTTTTTTATCTCATTCCCAACAAAGTTTTAAAAAAGGCGCCTTGTTAATTTGATTCTGTCAGTTCGTCAATGTTACGAAATTTCTACGCCTTTTAAGACATAAGGCTGAAATTGTATACATATAAAAGTAAACCTTTACTAACTATAGTATCCAAACAACAAACATTTTTTAAATTCTGCAAACGTCGAAAAGTAAGCGTGCAAAATGTGACTAACTTTTTTTACCGCAAAATGGAGTAGTCAAATATTTAAATGACAAAATTACTGTTTTTCTTTCTGGTTCAAATTTCTAACATCGCTATTCTCTTCTGAATCTAAAATATTACCGTTTAGACATTAATAAATAATTTATTTCGTTGGAAGAAATTTTTGTTCCTTTTGAAAGACTAGAAACTTGTAAGTTATCGCCTCTCGAAATTAGTAAATTTTAAATTTTCAAAACTATACTTCTATATTTCCGAAACTTTTCTGAATTTTCATGAAAGCACAGTAATAATTTTTCTATCAAAAAATACAATTTTACCAATTTAATTTAAATAAACCAATACAATTTTTTCTTATCGTAAATGTATGCAATGATTTCGGTATAATGAGAATGATTTTAAGTAAAAGATTAATTTCCAAAAAAAATTATTTACACTGTTTAAACCTTTCGGTTCTATTTTACAAAAATCATTGGTTTGATCCGAATTTATTTCTATTTGAATTATATTTAATATCACAAATCATGGCATTTGTATTATGAATATCTTATGATTTATAGAATATAGGAAAGTGATTTTTTAAAGAAAACTACAGAGTCTGTAATACAGAGTAGTATTGAAATACACCAGTTAAACATATACATAATTTTATGTTCAAGCCCTTTAAACTCTTATAGCTCCAAAAATATTTATAAAAATTATAATTAATCTGTAAAGCTAATCTGTATTAAGTTATATCGCTTATTTAAAAAGATTTTTTATTGTTTTTTTTCTAAATTTGATTTATACACAAGGTCCTATATAAATTTCAGTTCCTTATAAAAAGATTTCCGTTTTAAGTTTTAATGTTATATATGCTATGTTGTACATTATACATAATTACGTGTTAATATGGTAGAAAATTAAATAAAAATTTAAATACTTTTTTTTCCGAAAATAAAAAATTAACAAATATAATAAATAAATTCAACAGCTTTCTTCATTTTAGAACAACATTTTTTAGGATATCCCAGAGCGAATTCCACCAAAATATTTCAAAAAGTTTGTATAACATGTTACGTAGTGGCATGGTTGCAGAGCATTACATATTAAAACACAAACCTGTCAAAATTTATAAAATTTATAGACGAGCCTGTTTTTATACTGAGTTTTCAGGAAACAATTGACTAAAAGAAGTGAAATAATCAATTGTCAATAATAAATATTTCTGTTCGTCCTGTGGTTCCATTATAAATAAAATGTCATAACAATTGATAAATTTTCTATAATTAGAACTTTTGAAAAAATATATGACTTATTTCGCTATTGCATGCCTATTCCACTTGTACTTTCGTACACACTTAAAAAATAAATACCATTTTCTAATTAATACTTAAATTATTTTATAAATTTTTTTTATTTTTAATACATTAATTAATAATTATTACGACCACAAAGTCTAACATTGACCAGTACGTTTTCCCTTCTCATGAAGCTATAATTAAAAATTATATAGCTCTATATAAAACACAAACTTTTTATTTTCCAATATTTTTTTACTCTATTAAGGTGTACAAATACATTTATAAATGAAAGTATAAAACGCTATGAGTGTATTCGCAAATACTTGAGTATACACACAAAATATATAATTGAAAAAATTATAGAAAATAATTCCAAATAAGTATATATTATTATGTACATAAATAAAGAGCCATGATTAGACATTTTCAAATAGAAAAAAATAATAAATACATAAAAAAAAGAATCAAAGAAAAACTAGAAATAACAAGAAGGAAAAAGCACAAGTCACGCAATTGTAAATAAGCAGACATCAAAATATAAAAATATTTCGTTTTTTTAGTACAGTATGACATTTTATTTTACGTTTTTATAAAAAAATTTTCGAAGCTCTAATTTTGTCCTTTTACTAACACATTCCAACAACATGAAATGAATGACCTTTTCTATTTAAACTTTCAATTATTTATAAATATGATAATCGAATTTTTGAAAAGTCCTATAAGTATGATAGGTAAAATTAATCATTCAAACCCATTTTTAACAAAAATATTTCTAATTTTACTTAAAGTTACACGTAATTTTACATGACAAATTATTAATCATACATAGGAACATGACGTTTTATACCCACGTTAAATCACCAATTTTATATATACTGTATACGTATATAACTATATATACTTTGAAGTAAAAAAATTAAGCCTAGAATGTCATATATATAAGGCTGCCAAGCTAAGAAAACAAATCCAAAATAATTTGCAAATTCGTATGCAAATCACCAAGATTGCTAAAAATAGTTTATGTAAAGGAAATTGATTAATATTTTTAATCAATTACAACCAAAGTTATTGGTTTTTTCTAATAGGGAAAAATAAAAGAGTAATTAAAATATTTTTAGGAGGGTTTT